TTTTTTGTTTTTTTTGATAAAAGCTGATTAAAGTTCTTTGTGACATTTCAAAAATTTTTAGATATTCTAGGATTTATAGTATTCTATGAATGGCACTAACATTCATATAATGTACTAAATACAATATTTTAGTGTGTCTTATAAATATTTTGTTTATATAATATATTAGAATACACTATTCCAAAGTGTTTTACAGATGTTTTATTCATATAGCATACTAGAACATACTGTTCTAGGACATTTTACAAATGTTTCATTCATATAGCATATTAGAACATACCGTTCTAGAACATTTTACAGATGTTTCATTTATATAATATACTAGAATGCCTCTATATAATTCTAGATGACTGAAACAAGTTTACAATTTTACAGAAAGTGTAATTGATGTTTGTCTTTTAGGTTTCTTAGTACCATTTTTGAAATTCGTTTATAATATAAAAAGTTTTATATGTAGTAATGATCAATGATTTTGTATGTTATAATTATTATAACATCAGGAAATTTAATAGGCAATGGGCACAAAGGATTTTTTTGTTTTTTGACTTCACTCGCTATTTGGCTACAAAATGATATGTGTTTTGTTCCAGTAGCATCGATATTTGTGGAGATATTTGTGTTTAAATCAAACGTCCGCGAAAATTTTCTGTTATAAATTTTCCATAATTTTTTCATAATTCTGGCCAGAATTACGGAAAATTTATAGCCGAAATTTTCACAGACGTTTGAGTTTAAACGTTAATATCTCCGCGAATATCGACGCTAACTGAATGAAACACATGTCATTTTGTAGACAAGAACAAGTCTTTCTTTCTATCTTAGAAATATATATTAGTAGAAAATCTCTCTATGCTTTGCAAATCTTGAGCGAAGTCAAAAATGAATTTTTTTGCGGAATCTTATGTATAAATCACATGATTTATGCGTTTGAAAATTTATGACAATCATTTGACTTAAACACGCGAATATTGATGCTACAGGAACAAAAAAATATTATCTTAGAGCTAAGAACTAGGGATTTCGATTTGTCATAGAAAATACCTGTTGCATAAATCACGGCCAAAGTCAAAAAGGTATTACGGCAGAATTACGACATTACGGCATTACGGCAGAATTATGGCATTACGAAAAATAGTTGCAACTAATTGAGTCGCAGGTATCTTTAGAACATGTTAACTCAAATTAGAATTATGTACGAAAATTTCACAAGATACGTAAAAATTTTTTATTATAGCGAGATTTATTATTATTATAATGTCACAATTAAAGCTCGTTGATTGGGTTACAAGAAGTGATTTCTACTAAGATATTTCTAATACAATAGTGGTTAAAATAATCGAACAATTGGGATACTAATTAAACTTTAGAATCAGTACAATAAAAGTTAGTCAATTTTTCGTATGTAATTTTCAATGTTAATTATTAATTGCCTGTTAAAGATATTAATATTCTTGGCATCCTAAAGATGAAAAATACATATCGCAATCTGCAATTGATTTTCTGGTAAAATACCTTTTGATCAAAATTTTCCTGATATCTAATAGACATTTGGTGTTCGTCAAAAGGGTTAATAAAAAAAATACAAAATGTTTCAACAAATAGAACAAAAAAAAAATTTTTTTTTTTATTCGTCAACGGAAGCTAACCTTAACCCTATAAAACTCACATCTTTATAAAGGAATAACGAAAGAACACAGTTACACGATTGTGACAATTGTGATATTAAAATATATTAAAGTTCCTTAAAAATATTATTAAGCTCTTCTTTTTTTTTGAGGGGTGAAAAATGACTTCGAATATAAAATCCACAACAACAGCAGCAACAACAGCAACAACAGCAACAACAAGTACTACTCAACAATCTTCTTCCCCTTCCTCCTCCTCCTCAGCAATAGACCCTATCACTGCTGTAAATAATTTTTTATTAAATAATCCAAATGAAATAATTGATCAAGAATTAAGTTTGGAAGCAAGAGAAAAATTAATAAAGTATATAATTTTTTTTTTATTTTTGTCAGAAGAATGAATTATTTATTTATTTTGATTAATTTATAACTTTTTACTTACTCTAATAAAATGGATAAAAATAGAGAAATTTTGGAACAACAAGAAGGATTAAAAGGTAATTCATTAATAATAAATAATTTTTTTTAGTAACTATCATATCAAATATTATAAATATTACTATCAAATATTATAAATATCAAATATATAAATATTACTCATTTATTTTTTATTATTATTAAAAGCTCTAATTCAGAGAGTAGAATCAGTGAAAGGCGATCATGACCAAAAACAATCAGGAAATCAAATATTACAGACATATATCAATAATCTTATGTCTTCTAGTGTATTGTCTTCTGTAAATGGAAAGAAAGATATTTAAGAAAATTATTTTGGAAATTAAGGTGAATTTAAAATATTTTTTTTAAACAAGTAAATCATTTAATATATTTAATATTTAATCATCATTTAATAATTATAATTTGATTTCTTGAGAATATTGAAAGAATTTTAAAGAACATCATCTACTTTTATTTACTTAATTCAAATTTGAAAGTATATGAATTTCAAGTCAAAGCTAATCAATAATAATATATTATTATATTATAATTTTACTAACACTAGTAGGTCATCAATCTGTATGGATAATCAATCTCAATGTCTTTCTTTTTCCAAATCTTCTTTCTCTTTTTTTGTGGTATATATTCTACATTTACTTCTTCACAATATCGTTTTTTAAATTCTCGTATAAAGACGGGATCCCTTTTTTTTTAATAATAAATAATAATGTTATTTTATAATTTTAATATAATTCTTGATAATGAGATGTGAAAACGTACCATAATTCAGAAGCGATCCCCAAATCTTTGCAACATCTCATTAATGCATTACTTTTAGCACCTTCCGCGGCAGTTGGTAAACCAGTAGCATCAAAATAATCTTGTTCACCACGTGCTACAGAGACAAGTCTAGTTGTGTATTATGTATAATTGAGAAAGATGATTAGAAAATTTAAAAAAAATTAAATATAAATATTTATATATTAAATTTATTTAAATTTATATGTATTTACCTTCCACCGATAACAAGACAATATTCTCTCGATATATTTTTTGCATTGACTGCTGCTTCTCCGCGTGGTGCAAGACCCCATCCTATATATTTTAATATATTATATTATATTTAAATATTTAAACATCACAAATATAACAATCACATTTAATCACAATGATCAAATGATAACCTCCAGGTCCAAATGCTCTATTCAAGATGCGACGATATTTTATTTCGGGTAAATATAACAATCCATCTAATAATGAAGCATAATAAATCATCAATATTTTATTTTGAAATCATTTAAAATCATTTAAATTACTTTAAATCTGTAAATAAAAAAACTCTTCCATTAATTTACCTGGTTTACATTCAATATCTTCATGATTTATTGGAGAAAGAAGAGTATCACAAACTTCTTTAGGAAATGCTTGAGAAGATAATCCAAAAGTGGATTTTGACCAGTCAAGTTCGGCTGAAATCCTTGTGGCTATTTCTGTAGTTTGATGTGATTGATGATCTGGTTTAATATCATCTTTGAGATTATTTGTAGGAAAATCTACCATGGGTTCAAAGCCGGTAGAAGCTGGGGGTTGTTCTTTAATTGGGGAGGCAAGTAACGCGTTTTCACTTCCTGATTCACTTGCACCTTCTCCATTAACCTGAGTATCGTAAGCACGTTTTTTTTGAGTAAAATTTAACTTTTGGCCCTGCAAAAAAGAAAAGTAAAAAACGCGTAAAAAAAAACAGAAAGAACAAAAAAACGCGATATCATTTTTTGCAAGTTAATAAATTTATTAAAGAACTCTTGCCCTTAAGTATTGCGTTTTAAGTTCTGGGGATTGAAGACTAGAAAATAAACGCGTTTCTTGACGAACTACGTTAGTAAAAACTTTTTGAAGATGAATATTCTTAATAAGAGAAGCCATATTTTCTGATGAAAGCGTGATGAATTAAGATAACTTTGTTAAAATATTATATAAGATCTAGGGGTAGGGAGTGAATTCATGTGATTGATTTCGGGAGTGATGAACGTAGGGTCATTTGACTACAATAATATAATAGTCGACCAACGTTGGCCGACTTATCGAATTTCCCTTTGTAACAGAGATTATCAATATCAAATAGAATTTTATTAATCTAACACATGATTTAATTTCCGACGCGAAGCTAAACTCGAAATCCGAGACTTTTTTTAATGATCGGAATTTTAAAAACAAGATTTTGCACCAAACTGTAAGTACAAGAAGTAAACCAATATAAACATATCCCCTGAGTAAATGTATAAAATTAATAAGGAGAAAATTAAAAAATTAAAAATTGGGAAAATAAAAATAAAAACCAACCAATGGAGTCTTTATAGCGACTGGAATCATTAGTATTGATAATCCTCGAAAAACATTTGTTATGATCTTTTTTGCGATGCTATTTTTTTTCGATTTATGGATCTAAAGAATAAATAAATCACGTAAACAATCCTAAAGCAACATAATGTAATGAAACCTAAAACGTACAAAATAACTTGATGATATTTAAAGAGATAATTAATAAAATACTTCGACATTTAATAAGTTGGTCGCTCCAACGGCCACAGGAAAAAACCAAGTCGGGTCCACTGCTGTTAAATCGGTAAACCAAAGAATGCCACCATTTCTAAAATCTTGGGTATTTTTTATTGATGTATTATTATTATTATTATTATTATTATTATTATTATTATTATTGTCTTTGGCTTGACCATTTTCATCTTCTATATAATCTTCAATTTTATTATCATTATTATTATTATCAGATTTATCAGATTTAATCATTTCACGTAAAGTTATAGACATGCAAATAAAAAGTGGAATTTGAAACCATGGAAGCATAAAATTTTTCGCTGGGTGCCACTTAATTTCGCGATGTATTTGCTTGATCTTTATGTCAAACTTTAATCAAAAAAAAATTAAATAATTAAAAATATAATTCTAATATTTTGGTCAAAGAAAAAAAAATACCTTTTTTTGTAATTCGGCCTGAAATTCTTCATATGAACGCCCTTGACTACGCATTCTTCTTGCTACTTGATGTTTCAACTGTTCGAATGATTCAGTTATCTTTGGTTGGACATTCAACAAACGTGCAACATTTTTTTGTTGCCAAATTGATATCGGAAGAGTAAATATTGATCGAAGAATTATTGTTGATATTACAATAGTTGCCCACCAAGGGACTCCCATAATATTATGTACATATTCAAGTAAATATTGATTCGTTGTTATAAATATATTTAATTCATCTTTAATCGGCTCGATTTCACTTAATACATCATTATTTTCTTGAGAGCTCTCGATTATTGATTCTCGAGGTGTTATTTTTATTTCTGAATTATCAAATATTTTTTCATTATTATTATTGTTATAACTTGTAAAAGACGTGGAAAAGAGACGTTGTTTTTCGTTTACGGAAAATGAATTCTGAAAATATTTCACTTTTTTCACTGGTATTATACTATTAATTTGAATCTTTGAAATAGAATTCGAGAACCTTCTATTCAATTGGACTTTTTTCTTATTTAATTTTGTTACTCGAAAATTTCGAGAAAACATTTTCTAAAAAAAAAAAAAAATAGTCGATCGATTTTCACGATAATCAGATATAAAATATTTCTCACCTTTTTTTAAAAAAAATAAAAATTCAGACTTAATGTTGATTCTTTACGTCTGGGGTGAAAATTGGGAGCTTCCTTCCATAGATCCCGCTTGTTTATCTATCATTTCATATTTGCAACTTGCTGCGTATGACGAATGGGGTGTTATCAAATGTACCAACCCCAACATTTCTCCAACTGGTAAGCAAAAAGTGAGCCCTCCAAAGAAAATTTTGAAAATTCATGAATTATTATATTTATATTATATTTTATTACATTTTAGGCGAACTTCCTATATTGAAAAACGGTCTTGAGTGGATCACGGGTGTTCATAATATAATAAAGTTTTTGAAGAAAAAGGTGAAATTTTTGTTTTTAGAATTAACGAATTCTACATTTTTTTTTTTTTTTTTTTAAAAAAAAAAAATGCTAATTCATTCATTATTTCGTAAGGGCTTAGATGCAGACGAGCATTTAAATTCTAGACAAAAAGCCGATAGTTTAGCGTAAGAAAAAAATAAATAATAATAATTATTATTATATTATTATTATTTTGATTTTGGAAATTTATTAAATTATTATATTAGATTTATTTCCTTCGTTGAAGGAAAAGTTTATGATGCACTCGTGAGTATTATGTCTTTTTATTTAATATTTTTAATCATTTTAAACGAACAAATAATACAATAATGTTAAAAATCAAATGATTAGTTGTTTTCGTGGTATGTTGATTCCAAGAATTTCACTGAAGAAATTCGTCCTCTCTATGCAAAATTGCTTGCTTTTCCGATTCGATATTTTACACCAACACAATTGCGCGATGCCGCTAAAGCCAGATTAGAAAGGTATGGAGTTGTCACCGTGGGAGATTTGGGGGTACTTTTAGATAAAGATAAAAAGGTTGTTGACTTGTTTATTAAATTTATTATGTTATCGATTATTTATAAGTTAAATAAAATATCAAATTAAATTTATTTAAATTTATTAAAACGTTTTTTAGATGGACAGAGTTGCACTGGAATCTTATGATGTATTATTGAAAAAAATAGGAAATAACGAATATTTCTTTGGAGACCAGTGAGTAAGGAAAAGAACGATCCATATTTATTTTCTTTTTCTAATATTTTGAAATTAATTATTCAAATACTATTTTAATTAGGCCATCAACTTTAGATGTCATAGTGTATAGTCATTTGTCACTTCATCTATATGCGAAACTTCCTCATCCAAATTTATCTATTATTCTCAATAACGAATATCCTCGTCTCGCAAGATTTTGTAATCGAATGAAAAATCGATTATCCTCTCAACCAATTAACCAGTTACCTGACATTGATTTACCATCAGTTTTTACGGGATTAATAAAATCACCGCGAACGTGGTTTACATCATCAGAAGTGAAAACTTCAAAGACAGAAGAAACCCCTCAAAAGTCTGAGGCTCAAATCAAATTCGAAAGAAAGAGAAATATATCAATTTTTGGAGCAATTGTTCTTATGATAGTTCATGTAGTTTGGAACGGAATTATAACTATCGAATGGGATGATAAACGTGAAAACGAAGAGGAAGAGGAAGAAGAGGAAGAGGAGGAAGAAGAAGAAGAGGAAGACAACGAGATGAGCTATGATGAAGAAGAAGGTTAATAGGAATAAGCATACTTTAAATTATTTTATAATTCATTATATTTCATGTGATATCGTAATGTACAGCAAAAATAAAAATGTAAATATAATAAAAAATATAACTTTTAATTAAAAAAAAAAAAAAAGAAATCAATATCTTGAATCTCCAAAAAAAAAAAATTCTACTAAGTCATTGTTATATAAATAAATTAATGATGACCGTGACCATGAGATTCGGTACCAACAAAGTTTAACTTATAAACTTGACCACATTCTGGACAACGATCAAATTCATGATTTTTATCTACAACTAACCAAATCATTTCATGTGAATCGACAGGATATCCTAATGATAATGTAATTTAATTAAATATTTTTTATAATAATATTTTATAAATATCTTTCATATACATTCCGTATCTTACATACCAGTACAACCTACATAACGTTCAGGATCCACGCTTTTAACTATGATTGGATCTTTTTTAGTTCCCATGTGCGTAAGTTCCAAAGGTTTCATATCCCATAAACTTTTGCCTTCTAAATTGGCTAATAATTCAGCACGTTCAGGACCAGTCGCTTGTTCTAAGTCGGTGGGCACAGTACCAGGTTTTGCACCAGGTCCAAAAAAATCTTTATCCAATTCTATAGCATATTAATAATAAATTAATCCATTTTGTTTCATTTCTTTAAATAATGCGTATATCCTAATTCCAATAAAATAAGCCAGCTAATTTTCTAATTAATTGCTTTATTAGATTAAGTATTTAAACTTTAAAAGTGAATTTTTATAAGCATTCATCCCACCTCCATAACGAGGTCCTAGAACTGAAAAAGTTCGAAAAGCCGAAGATGGACGAGGGGTTTGCGAGGCAACTGCTCTAAATAAATTTGTTCTCAAAGCACGTTGAATAGTAATAGTTAACATTTTTTTTTTTTAACTCAAAATATTTTTTAAATGTGGATTATCTTAATTTTTTTAAATCATGTATGCATGAATATGTTACGCAAACTTTGATTATATCGTGTTACATAAACTTTCAATTGTTAATGAGGTCAGCAAAAATATATTCAATATACAACCCAAAGGTAATTGATTTATTATTTTGATTATTTTAAATGAATCAAAAAAAAAATAATAATTGAAAATAATGGAATAATGAAAATAATGGAAAATAAGGTTCTATAGGTAAAGAAGAAAAGAGAATAATTCGTGAAAGAAGAAGAAAAGGAAGAAATGAATTTAAAAATTCAAATTAATTATACCATTAATAATAAAAGTATAACTACAAATACATATTCTACATCTACTAATACATATTCTCATTATTAAAATACAAATATTCACTAAGGTTATTTAATGTTATTCAGTAAATTAAAATATTTTGAAAATTTTATTTTATAATAAAAAATTTTGATTATGTAAAAAATTAAGATTCTAATCTAAATTGTTTTTAAATAAAGACAAAAATATTGTTTAATTATGAATTATTATGATTTGTGATAGAATCTTATAATAATTTAATTTTTTTTTTTTTTCATTTTATAGTTTCTCTTATAGTTTCCCTTGTAAGATCATTTCTATACAATTGTTAATATATTCTTTCCTAGGACTCATATCCATACCAAAGGATTGAGATAAATCGTCACGCACTTGTTTCTTTGTAATTGACATGAGATTAGCACTGGCTAAAATATTTCTAATCTTTTGAAGAAGTTCATCATCTGATGGAAATCCGGAATCACTCATTGCGTTCATTGCGTTAATTGCGTTATTATAATATGCTGCTCCTCCATCTGGAAGACTAACGTATGATCCACGTTGGGTAGCGTACGAAGTTCGTCTTTCTTCAAATGGTGGTGGTGGTGGTATCGGTGAACGAGATCTATCTCCTCCATAGACTGATCCAGCTTGTGACCCTTTTTTAGCTGATCGATTGCTTTTATATGAAGCTCTTGAATGTGCTGACTCGTGTGACCCTTGTGTATTAACTTCCCATAATTCTTGTTCGTAATCTGACCATTTCTTTTTGGGGATCACTTTGGGATCAAATTTGCCTTCATCTGTAACCACCACTTTTTTGCCTTTTTCACCAACTACAACACGTGTATTACCCCATGAGAAATCGTCAAAATGCCAAAAGGCATAAACTGGAAGATAGAATGAAAAGACTGGGATGGCTAAAATATAAAATATCATCCAACCAACATGTTCCCATTTTCGACGAATAATAAATATAATTGCTTGAAGACCATAAACGGCCGCTAAAAGTATTAATGATGTAATTGGAATTGCTGTAGGATTTTGTACAACTGTATAAACAAGATATACAAGATAAGCAACTGTGGCCGGCATAATAAGTGTAGCAAATAAATCTATCATCACCACGAAACGCATAGAGAAACAACAGAAACCACAAAGTTGTGGTAAGAACACTAATTCCATTAAATTGTGAACGGTTGAATTGATCCATCGACGACGTTGAGAAAGGAGTACAGACCATTGATCGGGAGCTGTAGTTTTACATTGAGCATCTGGTACAAAGGTCATTTTATAAGTTGGAAAATGTTTCATCATTAAAGTAGTCAGGTAACGATCTTCTCCAAGGTGAAGTAGATTTTTCTTGTGAAGAGTATTTACTAAATTTTCAGAGTAATCTTCGATAACTTGATTGCTTATTAACAAAGGTTTATGTGTGTCGGGTGTGCGTACACGATACATACAGAAACAACCAGGTAAACAAGTTACACTACCAAAGAGTGATTCGAATGATTTTGCGAGATGATGAGAAATATAATATTCATAAACTTGAATCATAGTAACCCAAGAAGTTTTAGCGTTGGAAAGAGTTGTTTCTCCACATAATCCCATTACTCTGGTATCGTGCATAAACGCTGAAACAAGTCGATTTAAAGAATCCGGTAATACTTCTGTATCGGCATCCACCATAAGAATATATTCATAAAAACTGGGATTTACACCAATTACATTTTTGATTTGATGATACATTTCCAATTCCAAAGGTGTCATCTCAGAATTAAAATGAACTTTGTTCAAGAAACGCATAAGAATCATTTGAGAATCACGTTTACCCCGATTACCAGGACGAGATCGCTCGGTTGTTTTTCCGACTTTAACTACCACAAGATAAGGAACGACGTGTCCATTACATTCATATAAACCAGAATAAACTTTTCCCATATTATGTTGTTTAGCGCCATCGCCCAAAGAAATAAAGCTAAGCGGTTCGGGATCAACGTTGGGATCAACTCCTAAGATATCTAAAACTATACGAGGTGTTGAACGATCATTACCAGTACCAACAATCATACCATCACAAACAATGAATAAAAGCTTGCGTTTGTCATCATATCTTAAAACTGCCAATGAGTCCAATGTTTTACGCATGGAATCATCACTTTCGGTATAACAAGGAACTTGACATATGACAAATTTGTCGTGCTCTTCCGGTTCGCGTAAGGCACCTAGTTGAAGTGCAGCTAAAAATTTAAATAATATGACAGCTACTAATACTCCAGAGAATGCAAGCAAAATGTAATTTGAAAACAGGCATTGAGCTGATCTACGATGATCTACTTTTCCAACATAAAACAAATTACGTAAACAAGTTAATTGATTTCTTTTAAGTGTTTTATCAAGTTTTAATGCGTCGAATTTTTTACTAATATCAAGTCCATTGTCGGTGGTAAAGAGATCTACTATAAGTGAATCCATAAAATCTTTATCAATGTCCCCACCAGAAACTGCCTCCCCATTTGGTCCAACGGTGGATCGACCACCTACGATGTATGAAGTAAGATCATAAACATTATCATGGAGAATTGCAATATTTTTTTTATCTGTAAGGGCCATCTCCTTGACTTTTTTTGGTGCAATTGCTTTTTGACCGACTAAATAATTTGCTCTCAATTTCATTAAAATTTCTTCAAAATACCAATCAGGTCGATAATCATCAGTAGAAAAACGGAAGTCATGATATTTGGCATTAGTGTCGGATGTTCCATTAGCAGTAAAATCAAATGTGACTGAAGGATCAACAGAATTTTGAGTACCACGACAAAGAGCACTAACTTGAACAGGGAATAATTTTGTAGCATCTTGTCCACCGTATGATAAAATTGATTTCTGATCCACGAGAGGGGGGTAATGACGGGGTGCATAACCGCTCAACAAATACACTTCTCCACGAATTGACATATAGACGCTATTAGGTGAATTTTCGAAACTGTGTTCTGCTACTTCGGAATCGTTAAATAGATCTACATGTGGACAAATTAACAAGCCCAAAAATGCTAGGACAAAGATTACTACACATGAGATGAAAAAGATGACGAAGCATAGAGCAACTTTTTCTCGCCATGCCATTTGAATATCTTTTCGTTTCATGCCACCACACCAATTTAAGAAACAAGGAGGAATCCACCATGTAAGAAGCCATGTAAGGAATACCCATTTTTTACGAGCTGCTGTAGTTCTACGAGGTTCTTCGGGTTCTTCTACTAAAACCTTTTCTTGATCAATTAACATATTCGTCTTTTCCATTTCTCTAAACATGTTATGTGATGGAGCATAAATTTCAGAACCATATGATGATGAAGTATCTTCAAATGTGCTGTAAGCTTCGTCTTGATAATAGTCATCTTCAGAGAGATTTGAACGATTATCATCCCCGGAATAGAAAGAATGTTGATCGAAATTTCTTGGAGGGGAAAGACGACGGGGTCCTTCGTTTAATTCTTGATTTGAGGGATATGAGATTTGAGATAATTGATCCTCATTTTGAATTTCTGTCATCCTTGATTTTTTGTCCTTTTTTCGTCGTTTATCATCACCATACATTCCTCTGAGATTATCTTCCAAACCATGCCATGTTTGCTCGCTCAAATAAACCTAATATTTTATATAATTGAATTAAATAGTGTTAATTTAATTTTAATTTAAGCGAAATAAAAAAAAAAAACTATTAATCAAATTAACATGGATATAAAAAAAACCTTGGTTTTTCCAACAGCCATATCTGAACCGGAAAACCCAAAATTTTCGCTTGCCGCTTCACATTTCGCCTTTAGGTCTCTGTATTGTTCAAGTTCTGCATCTAGTATAGATGAATATCTTTCAATAAATTCTTGATGTGTATAACTCGTAGTATATTCCAATTGAAGTTTTTGGGCAATTTCATGTAATCCGAATGTTCTGACTTGAGAACTCACTACTGCTAAATCAAATCGATTTGGTAATAAAGCATTATTAGGTCGGATACAAAATATATACCAAGACTGTGTCTCATCAAGGGTTTCGCATAGTTCATCAAGTGCTGAAGCGACTTGAGCAGAAAAACAAGTGACCGTCGGTTTTGCTTTAGAATCTGAAGGTTGACCTTTCTTACGACGCATGGAAGGTGCGCGTGTTGGTTTAGCGGATTGTTGAGCTGCAACAATTGTATCATCATTACGTGGATGAGATTCAGTAGCGACAGCATTCTCGGTGAAAAGACCAGTAATGAAATTGTTGTAAGAAGGAAGAATTTCACCACCGGAGCTACGGAAAATCGAAACAAAATCTGCACTGAGATTATCAATATTTTTTTCCAGAAAACCTTTTGAGTCGTAAGTAACCTGACCGTGAAAATGTTGGATACCGAAAATAGGAAGAGAATTCAAACTTTTTCCTGTTGCTTTGAAGGATTCATGTTCAGAATATTTCTTGTTAAAAGCATCTAACATAGTTTGATCCGTTTTACGTGAAGTCTTATTTGCTTGATCGTTCATGATGGCTATTAATCCTGATGAAGGTTTAACGATCATCTGAAGACAAGGAGTATTATCAGTGTATGGAACATCAAATATATTAATTCCTTCATCTAAAAATTCTTTATCAGACTCGAAAATTTGTTGTAAAATAAAATTATGTATTTTTTCGCTCGCAAAGTTAACGCAAAATTGCTCGAGAGAATTTTTTGTTAAATCTTGGAAGCCTAAAAGATCTACAACACTAATAAAGCTAGCAAAGTTATCATGACAAAGTTTTGTGTTGATATACTCTACTATCCAACTAAACAATAAAGAATAAAGTACATTTGCTAAGTCATCACGTTGTTTAGAAGCATTTTCTGAATCCAGAAATATTGTGCACATTTCCTTCTTAATTAACTTTGTTTTATAAGTAAGAATACTTTCCAAAGAACGAGAATCCATGCCTAAAAAGTCTGAAACTAAATCTAATACTTCCTGATTTTTAACAAAGGCAGCTTCTTTCAATCTATTATTTGGATCTTCGGCAAATTGTAAATTTCCCAAGTGTAAAATAGCAGCTAAAAGTTGAAACATTTGAGCAACATGTTTTTTATGAAAACCCAAAGATTTCAATGCTTGTTTTAATTCATTAAATTTTCCAGCGTCATCAACACCAGATATTCTTGTTCCCTTAGGTATATTCAAATAACGGTAATGAGTGACATCGGTAAGATGAAGATGAGATTTTTCTTCATGTGACGCACCAGAAATTAAATAATAAAAGACGTGAAAGTTTCGCTCATTATGTGGAACATTTGAAATGCGACTTTTTTCCAAAAGATAATCAAGAGTTTTTGCCCCGATAAGTTTTCCACGTTCATTAAATTGTAATTCAGTATATTTACCAAATCGAGAAGCATTATCGTTAGATATTGTTTTTGAGTTACCAAAAGATTCTAGAATAAATTCAGAGTTTGGAACTTGGGATTGAACTCGAGATTCTTTTTTAGGGTTAGCACTTAAAGCAATTAATTGTTTAACCAAAAGTTTGCGTGTTTCCGATTTTCCACTTCCGGACTCACCACTAATATATTATATTTTTTAAATGTAAATTATGAATATGAATATTTGAATATGAGTTAGACATATGTTAACTATATAAAATTTGAATAGATAAGCGAATAAAGAGTTTTCGCTTTACCTTAAGATGATGGACTGGTCTTGTCCCGTTCGTCGCATATGTAGATATGCCTGAGAAGCAATTTGAAAAACGTGAGGAGGTAATTGATCTTTTTGACTCGAATAGTCTTTATAATTAGCAACATATTCTTGTACAGTTGAATCGCTGAAGATAGAAAGGGGTTTGTAAGGGTTTACTGCTACTAGCGCAGAACTATTTAAACGAGAATATATAATATCTCTTTGATAACGTTCACGAAGAGCAGAGGTTATGGAGTCCTGAGAAATATTTTGTATATTGCAAAGATTAGCTTTTTCCTCACTTGAAGGAGAGGGATTCTTTTTTTTACCCATATTGAACGGGTTTTTTATTCACACAGTTTGTTCACAACTTCAATATTAATAAACGTAAAGGAAAAAACTCCTTTATTTTTTATTCTTTTTTTTTCTTTTTCTTTTACTCTTTATTCTTTTATTCTTTCACCAAAAGTTCAAAAAAAAGTTATATAACGTCAAACTAGTGAAGTAGGGGTAACGGAGAAGTATTGGTTAAGAACAGTATACATCCAGGAATCAAATATGCACGGGTGTAACAATTACTCGTTGTGTATAATGATAATGTATATTAAGTATTTTATTGCAGATTGAAGTTATACACTTATTTTTAGAGATAATTTATTGGAATTTCTTTTATAGGTGCATTTTTTTTTTTTTTTTTGATAAAAAAAATAATAATAAAAATAATAGTATGATTAATTTCTTCACACGTGTATACTAAAGCAAAAATAATGATAAAAATGATAATAAATTCGTAATTATCTAAAAAAAAAACCTCTAAATAAATATTTTAATGAGAAACCCAAAAAAAGATTGAATAAAAAAATTTTTTTTTCCTTGAAATAATGAAGAACTGGTTTATTTTCCCAAAAGTTAAAACTAAAATTAAAAAAATGTTTAAAAATGTTAATTGCTATTAAAAGGTTGATATAAATAGTCATGCATTTAAATGTTGTAATAAAAATCCGAACCAATTATAATATTAATTAAAATTGCATTTAAGAAAATCATAAAATTCAAAAAGATAATTGATACACAAATTGAATCGAGTTTCGGGGATCACAAGAGCCCTTAAACATAAATAAATAATATAAATTAATATAAATATGTAAGTTGATTTTAATATTTTTTGATGAAGTTACCTTTTTTTTATAGGATAATGTTTTGTAATGGTAGTAATAAACAATAGATTTATTAATAAATCAGAGATGGTAAATATAAGTTAAAAAATCCAGAAGTATATCTACTGAGGAAGCAAAGAAAACTTTATCGGAATTTTTCATAATTCTGGCCAGAATTACGGCAGAATTTTTCACAGACGTTCGAATTTAAACGCTACTTGGATGAAACACATATCATTTTGTAGCCAAGAACTAGGCCTTTCTTTCTATATTAGAAGTATTTTAATAAAATCGTTATACGCTTCGCAAATCG